TAGACACACAGAATCCACTTACCATTGTAACTGCTTAAAATGTTAATACAGCTCTCGTTTCTGAATGAGGATATGAGATACGGTGCGATGCAAATAGTTATTTGTCCCATAAAATGATTTCCCTTTACGGCAACTGTGTATGAATTATTTGAAGTTCTATGTTCGTTTTCAATGCGTTCGTTTTTATCTTCGTTCATGACTTCGGAGGATCGCACGATGTATTCCTCAACGGCGTCGGTCACATTTACCTTACTCCACTGGACAGTAATTGACGTGTCTGAGATCTTCACAATTCTCAAGTCCCCCACGCTCAATAATTTCTGACCTGCAAGCAAATGAACATGTGGCATGAAATTAGGCTACTCACTGAGATATTGACGATTCTCGATCTCCATAACTTTTTCAATATAAAATTCACATTTGCGGAAAAATTGTTGTTGTCCGAGAATGAGATTTGTGGATCAAAGGTACAATTGCTAAACAGTTTTTGTGATAATAAAGTTTGGAAACTATATTAGTTCCATGTGAGCGGGTAATTCTTATTTCTAATATTAGCAATAGGTTGCGATGTGTGTCATTTATTCTTCTTCTATGTAGGCCATGATACTTTTTGTCTTTATTGCAGTTTTTTCATGATCCGTGCATGCACTGAATAATAACAAATGGAATCACAGAGAGATAAACAACACATGAATCTTTTTCGCTTGAACCCACCATTAACGGTCGGCCTCGTAAAATGCCTCAGAAGTGTTTTCGTTTGGGTGCGATATTGCACGCAATGAGGCAGAGAATTTTTCACGCATTTGATGGCCTGTGTAGTGTTCGACATATCAACAGGAACAGAATCCCGCATTTCAATGTACACATACCAGCACAAGTGAAAGTTAGTGTCCAAGAAAACTTTTACTTGGACTAATTTTGAGGACTGACCCAGCTCTGAAAATATGATTAGAGTTAGTAAATATGAAGCTTGAATGCATAAAATTTTAATGAACTTAATTCAATCAGTAACTTCGACAAAATCCATATTTTTATTCATTTCGCAGAACAATGAAGATATTTGAATATTTCCATATTTTAGCAAATTAATATTAGGTTGGGAAAAATTTGTAATATGTAGTACATATTCCATTCAATACTAAATATTAATTATTATTTTGTTAAATACATGATATAATTATCACTAAAATGGATGCTCCGATACAAGTAAAATTTGATGATTATTAAAAACTTTTTATAAATGTATAACACATCTATTCAATTTACTCATATTACCAGGAGACGTCCACTTATCACATGACAGAAATTCGTCAACCCTGCATTTATCAGAGATAGCGGCGATGTCATCTGTTGTAAGCTGTGCACCCGCCCCGCCATCCGCTAGGTAGCTCTGTCAGAGTAGGCAAGTTTATTATGTTACTGATGAGTTTTAAACGCGACTTTCCAATTACATAGGACATACGTACTTCATAAGATGAATTTAAATTAGTAAGTTTTAATGCAGGGACACTATCATAAGATTAACTAATCACAAGCCGGAAATTTAATGAAGTGAATGTCGAATAGAACATGCAATGCGACTTATCTGGATGAGATTTAATTTACAGCTGAACAAGATTGTCTCCTTGTACTTACGTTCCTTTCGGAATCGTATACATCTATTTTTTCATTATTTGTTTTTGACAAATGAAGAAAACGTAATTCGTCATAAATGGTTCCACTTCAGTATAATAATATTCATTGTAACAACGTGTGTGGCACAATCACTTAAGTATATCAATGTTTGTGGTGGCGTTTTTCAAATTAAATGTATATATGTGACTTTTTTAATTAAGGAAACTTGAACTGAATTTTGACTAATTTCAGCAAATATTCGGTAAAGTTCAAGAAAAAGACAGAAAGAAGCAATAACTTCAATAAAATAATGCAAACACTAAGTACCAATGAAAATTGTATTTGCTTGATTAAAAAAAATAGGAAGCTGATTGTTCGGTGTGACTTAAATAAGGCTGCGCTATAATAAGGAAGAAATGTATAATGAATGAGTAACTATAAATATGTTAATTTTGTATACACACTTATGTACTCACCATGTATAAAATACAAATAACATAAAAAGCTGGAGTGGCGTGAGAAATTCTAACAACCATGTTGATTCTTTTTGAAAAATACGCTAGCTATATAGGACTTGACTTGTTATCTACATGGATAATTCGGTGATAAACGCGTTCCACAGGCTGCACCTTCACTGAATAAACTTTTAATGTGTACTAAACCTCAGGCTGCATGAAGATAAGAAGTTTTGATTTGATCCAAGACTTACCACCGTCGGATACCTGGGGTCGTGATAAGAATGATATGATAACCACGAAACTAATGGACATTTCCTATATACTCAATTAATTGAGAGGCAATAAATCTTAACTGTATTGGTCATACTTTAATTTCATCCATAAGCCTGCTTAACAGACAACAGGAACTTATCTTGTATCACTTCGTAATGTAATACTGAAGTAGGTATATAATTTTAAAATTATTAATTTTACACATCGAACGTTTTACATTTCATTTGTGACGTGGAAGTTTAATTGGTTTCGCTGCGAGGCTTGTTGCCCAGCTGGAAGAAGTTTTTCTTGAGGGTCTACTCTAAGTAATATCTTATTTGTATTTTTGGCGAATTTATGCCGTATGCCGTAACAATATGAATGCTGCCATGATCATAAATGTCTACCTCGATTTGAAATATTGATTCCTTACTTACCTGCATGCTAGCTATGCTGGGGCCATACTTTCAAAATTTGCTAGGTGAACGTACGTACTTACGCTCTATTTTCTTTTCTATGATGGGTGGATTTTGCTTGAAAGACCCTCAACGAATGGCTGATGAACTTACGATCTCTTAATTAACTTTTTTTGAAAGTATGGCCCCAGCATTGTAATGTTTACCACTCAAATCAAACTCATCATCACTATTCGTTTTTGGCTGAGCTATTGTAGGCTACATCGCAATGTTTTAATTTTTAATGCTAAATCGCAGTATTCAGTTCATCTAACGTTCCCACACCCCGCATTATCTTGTTCTGTGTTGTGGCACCCCCACTATTATGATAATATAACATAACATATTGATCTCGGCGCTGAAGCGTATAGTCTGATGTGGCCTGTCGCCGATTCTTTTCCTTTTCGTGACTTGTTCACAGAAGATCTAGTATCGTTTCATTTGACCGGATCTTTTCATGACTGACGATAGTTTCAAGTAGCTACTAGATCTCCACCGGATTCGATATGGTGCTAGGCATTTCAAATCTGAACATATATTTTTCATAGCTTTATCTAGTCTGTTCTTGAACGCGTTCATACTTGGGGATCCCGCATGAATGTGATGTACTTCTAGATTTTTCTTGTCTATGTGTTTTACAGTCATTCGTTCGTTTCTTTTATATTCAGAGAAAGTTCATTTAGAACGCAAACTTGATCTGATGATAAGATAACGCACAAAACGCGCCCTTGAGATTATCTAGAGTTTGAAGACATATGTAGCTTCTGATTTTCTTATCATAGGTGAGAGAGTTTGGGACTCGTTGAAAATTAGTTGGACGAGCAAAGGAAATCGAAGTTCTCTGCAACGAATTGTTTGCCACATGTCGCTCATAAAGGTCACGTAGAACATGTGGTCACGTTTTCCGTATAGTCATTAGAACTGCACGATGTCCAAAATCAATTGAATAAAGGAAAATATCTGTATAGTTTTTTTGAGCGATATATCAATGTTGACGTTCTACATGTTAATCGTTGATGTAAACTAATGCGTTGTAACGACGGCGCATATGCCAAATGCGTTTGCATATCGCTCAGGGGCTGAAAGATTCCTAATCTGGCTGTATTTGCCGGCATCCGGTGGCACGGATGTGCTACGGCGACGAACAGGTTCCGAATGATAGCACCTGATGTGACTGCAGCGACGGACGCTATTCCGACAATGACGTGTATAAGTGGTACTGATGTTAGCGGTAATTTTTATACGGCTGACTATGACGATGTTGTCTTCTTCTACCATGACGTTTGCACGCCTGGGTTCTTCAGCTGCTCTCAGAGTCGCCATCAAAATAAAGAGACGATACTGGAATCATCATATTATTTTGTAGAAAGTGCTCAACTATAATACGAGAATTTTGTAATTAAAAAAAAGCATTTATTTTTCCATGTTACGCTCCTGCAGTTCGAGGGTGGAGCTACCACTCGCGGGGTTATTACGAAATCAAGTATTTCATAAAAATATTTTATTATACAATCATCAGTATGAATCTAAATGCAATCAATTTAGTATTAGCTCACTTCGCAGTCGCACATTGCCACCACGAAACAAATATAACAATATCTAAACAAATATCTAAATAAGAAACCATTTCTAAACGCAATAAATTTATCATTAGCTCACTTTTCAGTTGCACAATGCCACCACGAAACAAATATAAAAAGATTACAGACATACAAATATCTAAACGAGGAACAATATCTAAATGCAATCAATTTAACATTAGCTCACTTCTCAGTCACACATTGCCACAGCTGAACAAATATAACAGTTGACGATCAAACATAACAGTCCTTAGTTGGCGCCCGTCCTTGCCTGTTGATATATCCAGAGTTTTTTTACATGTTAGATCTCCGAAAAGACACTCATCGCGTTTGAATGCATTTTGAGTCACGTTCAATCTTCCAATACTCTCAGATACATATGCTCACATATTTTTCATTCAGAGTGGGACTCAAATTTTGCCTTTTTTGAGCTCAATCTTCTAAGAAACATGAATTTGTTCCATGTTATGTGCTAATTCTAATCCTTCATATGAAACAATGTTTCAGCTAATCTGTTGCAAAATTATAGGATTAACTAACAAAAATAAATATTTTAATTCAAGCAATTGCGATGTAAACTGCGTGAAAATTAATAAATTTTTCATTCAATAGGCGCAATTGTTCGTCTCTTTCACATTTTCCCTAATTGATATAAGACATGTCATTGACCGTTTGGACATTGTTTATAGGGTTATTTTCGGTTAATACGTGGTAGTGGTCGCTTCTTCATGGATGGAGGTAATTGAGACCTATGGAGTCCCCTTGTTTGACCAGTTGTAATTATTAGAGAGGAAGATGAGTGGGGAATCTCTGCAGCAAGCGCAGGGCGCTCAGCTTCTTCGCGGATGGATTCGTTAGTGCTGCATTCATTGTTTTGGCCAACAGTGTGTTGAACTGGAGAAGTAACTGGAGACATCTCATAACAATCTAGCACTGCGTCGGATGGTTTGGTGACGACCCTTGCATTATGTTCAGCAATAGATGTTAACACTTGAGCCGACGCTCGGCAAGGGTGACTCTTAACTGAAACAGAATTTTGCGATTGCACAGATTCGCATCTCCCATACTTAACATTGTCACCAGGCTCGTCTTGAATTTTCGAGCCACATGGTTGTCGGTCATGCAGGTTCACTGCTTGACTTGGTTCAGTGTGTGGAGTGTGCAATGCCCTATCAATTTCAGCTGGCCGGCGGCTCTGTGAAATGCAACGACGCGATGATGGTGAATGGGTAAGTGGATCTTGGTTCATTAGTGGGCTTGTCTCATCAATGGTGTCCCCAGTTCTGCTACTGGCAATCAGTTCCCCAGAGTATGTGTTTTGGTATTCGTCATCAATGGAAGCCATACTGAGCTGTGATAGAAGGTCATCACAAACTGCCAGGTCGAACGCGATTCCTGAGATGACGAGAAATGTAAATTTTACTGCTTAGTATTAGGAAATTAAGAAAAGATATCGACCAACGGTATATTGATTTGATAAGTAACAGAGAGTGCAAGAATATTACAACAAATTTCTATTTGTCTCGAAGCCTGGAGCAAAATTTGCAAAATTGTTCCCCGATTCAAAAAATCGTTTAGTAATTACCCGAATCTTCAAACGTTGGAGAAACTATTAAAATTCCTTCTGAATCGTGTGAAACACATTAATGAGTGGGTAGTGGAAAAAAAACGAGTATAGAGTCACCCACCTCGAGTTGTACTGAATGCGTGCTTGAGATAATAAATAAAAGCCATGACCAGATTTTCCGCTTTTTCCTGTGAAGGATGAACCAAATTTAGGATTTAACAATTGGACATAACAACGAATCAAAATTTGCAACTTGAAGCGAACAAATTTTACAATTTTTATTTATTTTTTCATAAAAGTAAGTCACATTTCTTCAGAACCTTAAAACTGGATTAAGAAGATCAATTAAAACACCGTAATTTCACATAACTTTCAAAAAATTACAGCTGCAAATGTGGATTTACATCTACATCATCATGTTAATTTACATTTGATTTACATCATCTACTCACGAGTGAATCCACCATGTGTGCTCTGTTCCTGCGCAGGTTTAAAATCACTTCCATCACATCAACTTCTGCAGAGGAAAACTCAGCCTTCAGTTGCAGGTTCCACAGCCCGAATAAAACTCCCGTACGTCCACTGCCATTACTGCTCGCAGACATCGGTATCACCGATCACATGGATTTTATGTATGTGATTTTCAATTTCTCTTAGCGCCTGACAGATCAAAAGAAGAGCAAAAGCCTAATTCAAGCCTGACACATTAATTGACCAATATTTTAATTGTATAATGATTTCAATTGAAGAATAGGTCTAAAAAAACAACGTACTGACCAGCTGTAGGTTATGGAGCAAGGGTCTTGGGAATTCTATTGCAAGTTACTTACCTGCAGTGGGCAACCACGTTACTCGGTCCCTCTGGCAGGCCTTCGCGAATTTTATGAAGAAAACCAACGAGGTCAGAAGGCCTGAAACTTGTGTCATCTGTCCATTTGGTGAGCTGAATTTGTCGCACATCGCGCTTACTTTCGCCCTGGGGTTAAAGATCAAAAACATTTTCGATGAGATCATTAACTTCGCCAACATGCCACTGCATTTTGGAGTACTCGTAACGACCAATAAATAAAAAATTATGGAAACAAATTAAAATTGTAGTACAAAATTTTTCTCCTTGTATTTACATGTGATCCTTTGTTTCAGCTGAATTTATCTTCAATGACTATCATTCAAATTACTAAAGGCAAAACTAAGACTAAGATAGAAGATAATGAAATTAAGGATTTAAAGAGAATTTGGAAACACGCGGATATAAAAATTTAGAGAGCTTTTGGGTTTGTTCTTGTGCTATTATGCGAATCGATTAAAATTTAATATTTTCGTAATAATCAAAACTCTGTGAAGATTTCCTTTAAAATATAATCCGTTTGACGCCATTATCCTAGTTAAATAATGCAATTAATTCATTAGTCGAATGAGAAATATTCTACCCAAAATGTATTTAATGTTAGTCATTTAAAATTTTAAAATCTCCAATGTTTGATGACAGAAATGCTTGTTATGGAGGAACGTACTATACGTGTGATAATGTATTTATATCAGTGACAGGCACTTACATTTTTGTTGTATTTATTTGCGTGTCTTCCACTAGTACATAACCTCAAATAGTCACTCGCATCTTCTTTTGCTGCCTATGACTTGCTATCTCCCTGACTGTCATCTGTTCTTTATATTTATTACTGTCGCGCATGACAGGTCAATTCATAGAATTATTCTCAGTCCTACAATGTTTTTCATAGATTGGTTATTAACATTAAACAATTGCAACGTGTTTTTTTTTGTTGTCCTCACCACCCGGAATCTAAAAAATTGTATGATAAAAACCTGGAACCGTTATGAACCACGTGTACGGAAATCTAAAAAAATTAGTAGACTAAACTCATTGTAGGGTGGGCTTTGAGAAAAGTTTACAATTAGTATTGCTCCCTAACGGTATTGTTGATTGATAGATAACCATAAGCATCCCTTCATCTGAGAACTCACGTCTGAGAGCTCCAAGTCTCTGGAGATGAAGAACTCTGCCCTCAGTCTCCTGATGAGCTTCACTTGAATGGGGGGGCAGTACACGGACTTGGTTTTGGACCGCGGCCAGTAGGGGTGCCATTCCTGCGTGGACTTGGGAAATAAGCAAAGAGAATCGGTCATCGTCCGGCAACGCTATTCAATGGCTTTGTCCGTTATTTGACCGAGAAGGACGCACGCGAGCTGAATGCACAATTGAATAAATCGAGTTTCTTGGGAAAATTGTTGCAAAATAGACGACTGGAAAACCAATTTTGAACTTTAGCGATTCCGAGTTCTATTCATTGATTCTTGAAACGTGAAATCAAGTTTCTTTAAGGTTTATATAACAACGTTAATCGACGAATACTTTACAGAAGAAATCAAGTTTCATCGGCATTGTCCTTAATACATATACAATTGATTTTCTCCGAGGTGATTTTTCAGGCTCCTTCAGTCACTATTACCTATATCACTTCCTCAAAGTTGAATAATCGGAAAGGAACTTATTAGTGTCCAATAAAATTTTACCGTAAGATTTTCTTGGTTCAACCTTACGATTAAAAATCGACGCATAATTCTATCATTATATTTTAATACTAGTATTATTAACGTTTAAGTCAGCATCTTATGATTTTGAAGGTAAAATTCAAAAGACCGAATTGCTTGAGGTTCTTCTTTATAATATCGGCTTGGTTGGTTCATTAAATCATACTTGACGTGAACTTTGGAGCAGCTTTAACTTGCATTTAAACGTTCAAAATTCTCATCATATATTCATCGTCATATGCTTATATAGTGCTGTTATCATGCCTAAATTGTAACCCACAGGTAAGATCAGCAAATATGTTTAATGGAAACTTTTAATTTAATCTCGCATACCATTCATTAGACGCGAAGTTTTCCATGTAGTCTGTATTGTTTCTTACGATCAAGGGTCTCGCCTTGATGGCAAGAAATTGATTTATCAAGTTTTCGAACTAATTAATGGGAAACAATCTCAATCAGTCGATCAGCCGTTACGTTATTAAGCCATCTACTGATACTATTCTTTAAATTGACTCACGTATCAGCCTGTTGAACAATTGAACTGTTGTGAAAAATTGAATAGGCTGACTGGATCACTTCTACGGACTTGTGTTAACTAGACCACGACCGCACTCATAGATTACACTCACCTTGAATAAAACCATTTTCATACTGAAATACGGAACTTTGACTAAGCATTCGAGAGAAATTAGATATTATCTTTCAAGTAATTCCGCCCGACGACTTCCCAGTCGAATTTCGGATTCCTCATATGTTCGCCCCGTGTTCCATCGACTCGGCCGGCTTAGAGGTGAATCAGCTTCAAATCGGCCACCTACACTATTCGGCTGGAAATTAGGAGCTTATTGCGGAAGTCTATTGCACGATGGGCCGAATCTGCGTAATATAATCAAAAAGCGCTGCCGACCAAGCTGTCTCATGTCAGACGCTAGTATTGGAGCGAACCATGACCATCTCCCCATCATAGAATGGCGTCGATGCATGTACACGCATACGTTTGTCAAGGCGTACGATGAAACGAAATGAGAATTTACTTTACATTTTTTTTAAGCTTAAGTGTTGTAAAATAATAATTTCATTAACCATAGGACAAAAATATCTGTAGTTATTTGGTTATCTTTAAAAACCACAGGCTGCTTGAAGGCATGGAAATATGAATAAGCGGTGCAGGAGCAGAAAAATACTTGATAAGTTCGTGGCAGTAAAAAAGTAACGATTGATTGTAGCTCCAAGAGATAAATGTCAAATCCATATCATAACACATAACTAATATGTAAGCTGTTAATTGGCAGAAAAAGCAACAGATGAACGTTCGGGTTCAGGCCTCCAAATTTCTTATTAAATGCTTAGGTCACGATGATTTTTGTATGAAAGTGCTTGATATTCCGATGACAGTGCATTGCCTGATGACAAGCATTAAGGAATTTACCTCCGCTTATACAAACAAGGTCTACAAAATTTAATATTTTTCAGGTGAGGTTTACAGTTGTATCAAATTGTTGTGCGGTTCACATGATTCCTTCAGTGAATTATGATCCTTGTACGCAATGGTAGTTGTCCGTACTCATCGCGGGCTGAGTGTCATAATGTCCAACTCTGCAAAGGCACTTGACTATTTTTGAACGAATGAAAAAAGTTTAGTCATTAGTTCAAGCAACATCGATGACAAAACCTGGTCAAGGCTTTACGGTTCTTGTTCCTCATAGTTTGTTTATCATGTTCACAAGGCAAATTTGCGGCTAGACTCGTTAAATATTTAAATAGTATTCGAGTTCAACGTGATGCAGCTGGAGGGAGTGAGTAGACGCGTGCAAAACGCTACCCGCTTGCCGCCTTGCCGGCGGCAGTTCTCGCGTAGTTCTAGTGATGAACAGATGTCGAACGACGAACGTTGCTCATTGTGGGAAACGTGATCTTGTGAAGTTGCGGGAAACGTGAACTTGTGAAGTATTTGACGCAAAAATAATAGATTTTATAAGCTGAACATCATTAGAAGCTACAAATTTCTTAATTTTACTGGAAAAGGCTTCTTAAATGTAGTTCGTTAAAAAACACGACACCGGCACTACCTGAATAGTGGGCGTGGCGCTTGACGCTGGTATTCTAGACAACTTAGTTGAGCTTCAAAGATTTTGGACCTGACTGTAATGGAAGTTTTTAGCATGAGGTATATGCTGGCATGAGTGTGTTAATTTATCAGCTCGTGTCCATTTACTTCAGGTTCTAATTTCTAATTCATCGAGAAAGCTGGATCCATGTGTGGAAATGCCAGTTCAGTCAAGAGTTCAACTGCATGGTTGGGTTTAGTCTACACCAGTCAGGCAGTCACCGAGCCGCTGCAAGAGAAGCGCGTGCAAACAAGGATGCAAATCGCAATAGTAACTCGAAAGTAAGTTCCTTATTTATGTAATTATATGCTTTTTTTCGTTGTATCATCGGGATTGGTACCAGAGTGAAATCTAAATGTTATGATCTGGGCTATTTTCGAAGAATTACAAATTATTAGAAGATAAATTTCCGAACTTTCCATTGAACATGGCAATGCTAGGAAGGTCATAAGTTCCAACTTGAATTTCGACAGTAGCAATTGATCTATTCTTCTTTACAACCACTGTAGGCAGAATTTTAAAGACTCGTGCAAATCTGTCCGATAGACCGTGCATACGAGTGACGTATCTTAAGATAACGAGTCGTTAGAAAATTACACTAAAATTACACTGGTCCGTTGACTGGATGTGAATGCACGCAGGTGTCATCTCACCCTGAATAGCAAACAATTAATTACATTGTATGTACTTTGAACCTGGAAAACCAAGGAAATAGCTAGCATATTGAATTTGCGCTATGTTAAAATGGTTGCAATTGAACCCTGTAGATACGCAAGGTTATTGTCTGCAAATATTTTGGGAGAACTTTGAGGACTGATTTAAGTGGTTATTGTGGAAGAATGTTTTAACAGTATATGTGATTGTTTAGTGATGGCGAATATGAGAGAAGGTTTAATACTGGTTAAGGTGAGAGAATTTTTTGCTCTGCCGTATGACCGGTAAGACACTTCAGCGAACTCGGCTGCGAACTGGCCTGCGCACTCGAATGCAAAACCTATTTTAATTTTGAACTCTGCCAGCCATAAATCCATCACTGATGAACGGATTTTATTAAAATTTGGAAAATAAGTACCTCGTTAATATCAGTAATCTGTGGATGGAATTTTTTTCAGATTTTTACATCCATTAATTTTTTATTAATACGGAAAACCTAATTTCATTTTGAATTCTGCCAGCCATAAATCCATCAATAATGAACGGATTTCATTCAAATTTGAATTTGAAAATTAAGTAGATATCAATAATTTGTGGACGGATTTATTTCAGATTTTTACATCAATTACTTTTTTTAATGCCACAAAATACTAAAACTTGACCTGACTAGGACCTAAACTGCGAAGTGAACGTGAAGTTAGGTTTTCCGTATTAATAAAAAAGTAATTGATGTAAAAATCCGAAAAAATTCCACCCACAAATTACTGATATTATCTACTTATTTTTCAAATTTGAATTATATCCGTTCATTATTGATGGATTAATGGCTGGTGTGACGTCGTTTGTCGCTCGTCAGATTCAACTCACTAAGTTTTCCTTATCCTCATCTATTCTTTCTTCAAATTTTCACTCATCCCTGCGTTCACTCCACAAGTGCGTGGAAAATATCGCAAAAATCAACGAAATTATAACCATGTGAACGCAGCGAGCCCTCAAGAGGTTCCCGCGTTCCTACTTCCTAACAGCGTCAGTGTGTGTCCACTGCTCGAGCGAGTAATGTGTTGCTCCACGAGCCCTCCCGGTGTTACCTTATTTTATGATGTTATAGCTTATTAAGCCTATTGTATCCATGTATTCCTCTATTGCCTTCTCTTTGTCTGATTCCAGAATTGTGATTCTAAATTCATGTTATTGAGTGCATATTCAAGTTGTCACTGCGAGTCATGCCGCGCCGATATATTGGCGGCCATGATCACGAACACCTGCTCATAGGCTCTTGACTATATCATAGTTGATATCTATTTTCTAGTATGAATTCGTCTAGGAGTAATTATTTTGAAAGGATTATTTGTCGCATAACTGGATGTACCGATTTGATATTTTCCAGGCCATTTGCCTCACCATTGCCGTTATAATCATTCGAATGTGTAAGAGAGACGCCATTCCGTTTTCTTCGACTCAGTCATAAAGAAAATTTTCGCGTGAGACTACTTTGTTCCCCGCGTCGTCTACACGGCATCCCTGCCGACTTGTGATTCATTACATCTCTTTTAATTTGAAGCATTTTAGGTAACTTTAAGATATTGTCATCTTAACTTAACCTCCAACCTCATGATTTCAGGTACCGTAATCGTAGGCCAAGCCCAACCGCAGTCGTTGGCACTAATCGTAAGCAAAGCCCAACCCAGCGTTGGCACTGTCATACTTAGTAATCAATTTCAAGCCCAACTCCGCGTTGGCACTGTTATGAGTTATCGAAATCGAATCCCAACCTAGCGTTGACGCTATAACTGTAATTGAAGCCCAACTCAGCGTTGGCAAATTTAAGCATAAGAAATTAATTAAACGTCAACATTAGGTATATCTGGTCTAACTCATTTAAGGTCGGAAATCTTAAACGTAATTATCGTCAACGTTGGCGTCTCTTCTTCTCGCCTGCCAAAACCACCTCGTGTGAGTAACAAATGAAATATCGCGGCCTTGCCGACATAAACAATTCCTGTCATGTCAGTTGTAATTTTGTTATCGAGAAGTCAAATAAGAACGTCCATCTATTCTATAACGTTTAGTACTAAACAATATCTAAAGTCTAAACAATGTGAGTCTACCCCTGCTTAGTTTAAGTTTCATGTATGTCTATCTCGACCTATTAACTAATATTAAATCTTATTTTCAGCTTACGTCACTCAGCTTACTTCACTCAAGTATATGAAATAAACGGGAGAAAACCAACTTCGATTTTCCCTGCCCCGTTGAGCCCGCACAAGTTTGTGCCAGCTGGCAGAGTTGAAAATGAAGTTAAGTTTTCCTTATTAACAAAAAAGTAATTGATGTAAAAACCTAAAAAATTCCATCCACAAATTATTGATATTATCTACTTATTTTCCAAATTTGAATAAAATCCGTTCATTATTGATGGATTAATGGCTGGCAGAGTTGAACGTGAAGTTAGGTTGTGCATTCGAGTGCGCAGGCCAGTTCGCTGAAGTGTCGATTCGGTTGCCATGTGTAAAATGTTTGGTACCCGCAATAGGTAGGAATGTTTGGTACGGGTGAATTTGTTAGGTTAGAATGTTTCGTACATGGATAATGTGGGATAATATTGAGGGTGTTGATTATTGGAGAATGCTGATTGTTGAATATGCTAGTGTGTAGTGAATAATGAAGAATGTTTTGTTCGGGCAATGTGAGAGGATGTCGAGTGCTGGTGAATATTAGAGATTGTTTTGTTTGGGCAATGTGAAAGAATCTTACATTCTGGTAAATTTTAGAAAATGTTGTGGCCCTGTGGATAATCAGGAAAGGAGTCAAAAGTTGTATCGCCTGATAGTATTCCCGGTTAAAATTCGTGTTTCCTTGGCCCTTGCTATTTGCTTAATTGTGCAACGATGATACATTTTTTATGTTTCCGTCTAGTCGGCACATATATAAAGCGTATGGCGATTCAGATGCACTCTCCCTTTCCACTATTATTTGGGGGATCGAATCCTTGTCCCCATTATTATTCGACATTAAATGCTCCCCCCTTTCCCCCCTAGTGGAGGGGGAAGGGAGGGGACATTTTTTAACTCACTTGCACACAACGCATTTGGCACACAGGTGCCAAATGCGCGCACCCCACGAACGCCCCAAGCTTGCTCGGTCTGTGACCGGATTTTAATCGGACGCTTACTTCGCTCGTAGAACCAGAGCGTAAAGCTAACATAGAACCGCTAATTTACGCGCTGGGCGAACTAAAGGCGTAGTTAATTTAGAAGCTAGCCACCCTCAAAATTTTGATAGGGTTTTATGTGTCTTAGCTTTCAATACTAACCTCTATTACTTTGATCTGAACATTCATGATTAACTTTCCTAAATCATTCTTAACAGACTTTCTAGAACCAACACTCAGATGAAATATTCAGAAATCTTCAAAGAAATGCTTACTAGCTGATCGTTAATGAATAATACTTTGGAGCTACCATTGAATCATCGTAGTGGTCCAGCGCAGCGATGACGTGCACTTTCTGCTGCCAGATCATCAGCCAGAAGTCGGCCACAGTGTCTTCCAGAGGAGACTGCGCCGCTATGAACTTGATGTCCGCTCTGCAGCTCTGAGGGTAGGAATGTGTTAACATAGGGATAAACTTGATGTCCGCTCTACAGCTCTGAGGGTAGGAATGCGTCAACATAGGGATGAACTTGATGTCTGCTCTGCAGCTCTGAGGGTAGGAATGCGTCAACATAGGGATGAACTTGATGTCCGCTCTGCAGCACTGAGGGTATAGGAATGCGTCAACATAGGGATGAACTTGATGTCCGCTCTGCAGCACTGAGAGTAGTAATTTTTTGCGATAGATATTGTAGCAGTTGGGATAGAATTAACTCCAGGCTTCAGTAATAGTGACATTGTTTCAAGTTCCAATAGCTCAATTACTGCGAAAATTGTTGGTAATAAGTTTTTGTGTTCCGGTTCCAACAATTCAAAAATTGTAAAAATTTTCAGATAATATATTTTTGATTTCCAGAGGAAAATAAAGATCTTCTGATTTGAAGGTTTTAAACATCCAACTTTGAATGATCATTAGTTCTGTAAAAAATTTATGAATCGCCCGGTGGTCTCTATCAGGTTTTAAATCTAAACTTACTTGGATAAAACTCGCGTTTATGTAGCCATCGGAGCCGTAAGAATCTTCCAGACGCACTCGCGTCCTGTTGACTAGCGGAGAAAACATACAACGATAGAAATAAATTGGGAAGGATGTCTCAATCGCTGTCACAAGAATTTTGAACGTGAGTCATATATAATAAATAAATTTTCGGTCTCACACTTCTCTCAGGATTCAGCTTAGATAGTTAAATTTTATGAACTTGGTGCTTGTAAAGTTTGAAGGATTTCCCTAGGGGCAGCTTTGCCACATCATGTAAATTTTGTGTTTTATTTCATAATTTGAAGGAGGATGAAATAGAAATCACTAAATGAGAAGAAATTGAGCTTCTGTCCGGTAAGTAAGGGAAAGTAGGGTACAGTGGGATATGGGGTACAGGAACATGACAATTATTTTATATATTAAGGGGACCGGCTACCCTAAAATTTTCAATTTTGGCGTTTTCCGGTTTTTCTGTTCATCTTAAAGCTGGAATTCTGCTCTTTCCAATGGTACCACTGCCATCTCTCTACGTGAATATTTACGTTCATGACGGCTCTTTAAACGGAGGCGGGTGGGAGAGTTCTTTAAGTAATTAGATACGGGTGGGAGAGTTCTTTAAGTAATTAGATATAAAGTAATTAACTGCTGAAATCTTTGAATATAGTTTCTACCTGAGTTGTGCTGCAGTTACATGCTTAGTCTCATCTTAAAGCTGACATTCTGAGCTTTCCAATGATACTACTGCGATCTATGTAGGCCAAAATTGACGCATATGGCCGCCTTTTAACGGGGGGCGGGGGGTGGAGTTCCTTAACAAAATAGACCCACGAAAATTAGAGCGGCATGACTACATATATTGGTGTATCTGGCATCTGGGCTCAGTTACCCTCCTAACTTTGTACGGAGAGCTGCGCTACAAGTTGCTGCTAGCATCCTTGAGTGGACTAAGCTAGAGAAGCCTGTAGTTTGGTATCCATGCTACATTGAGTGCCTATTTCGAGGCGCGCGGGACTTTGTCCAGCCGTCCTGAAAAGTTTAACTTATTGAACTTACTGTCACGGAAAACCTATCTCCTCCTACAGTTTTCAAGCTACAGCAATGAGAGTTATATCATTCGATTCGTAAAGACTATATCTATCGACGTAGCCATCGCTTTTTTTGAATTTGTGCATGGTTCGTCTTATATATGGGGGAGAAGGAGGGGAGGGGGTGAAAAAAGTGGAAAAATGGGAAAAACGCGCATAAAAAAAATATGGGAAAATGAAAAAAAGCGATGGCCAGGTCGATAGATATGGTCTTTACGAATCGAATGATATGTGTCTGGATGTTGTAGGACGATATTTGTAGGAGGAGATAGATTTTCTATAGTACCCCTTTGTAGCCGTTTTCTATGAATTTCACGTTTTCTATCAATTTTTTCGAAAAATTCATAGGAACAAAATGTTATTTTTTTACATTTTACGTATGTATGTGAAGTTTCGTGATGATCGGATAATAACTGTAGAAGTTTTTCCGGAGGGTAGCCGGTCCCCTTAAAAAGTAATATTGAACAACTGTATAAGGTAGTAATAGCGCACAAGGAAGTGCAATGATTGATGTACAAAAAAGACGTGTTGCTCTGTCATGCATTCCTCTGTGCGCAATGTATTGTTTTAAGACGATTCAGTATATACTTGTCATCATGAATTAAATGTAATAAGATGGTCGATTTTGCGGACTGAAGCTTTATGGATGACTAATTGTTATATCATACGCTCAAAATTAATTGCTCAAGATAATTAGTAACTTGCTTCATTGGTTTTTAAATAGCGACCGAATGTTTCCAAAATGTTAGGGGTATATTGGGACAGTGTCCATGTCCCTCGATCTTGCAATTCTTCAAGCTAGACCTTCCAATATGAAAAAAATTATCCGTTTGCCGCCAAATATTTGTTGAAAGAAATATCAGGTTCTTTGTCATCTTCAGAAGAAGAATTCCGCTTTTTTCATCATTCATTTAAAACATTATACGAAGAATTACTGATAGGAAAAAGGTAAAAATCTTTTAACATATTTCATAGAGAACGAAAGCTCCACGATTACGTTCTTGTAGAATTTGGCATCACCGTGCCTAAAACATATTATGTTGGCTTAATAACAAAGCCATATGACATGACGAACCTGAAATATCTTATTTCGTCTTGGAGGAAAATTTTAACGTTTTATACTTATTCCTGCAGTTTATCATGCGGCAGTCAGTATGGGAAAAATTTGTTTCATTCATAGCAACTGTATTTAATGTAGAACAAAATCACAAAATTTTAATCTGAAAAGTGACTATAATTGTGATGATAGTATAATAGTTATAAGTGTCCCAATATACACCATGGACTGTCCCACAATACCCCGGGACGGGGTATGTTTTGATTTTATTTTGCATTTTCATTATTTCTAGTAAGAGGAAGAGTTCTAATCATTGCTTAGGTACTTAGCAATGTAAATAAGGATGTGATGCGTAGTTTAATTTGAATCTATTCATATTTTAAAAATGAAATATTTATAGTTGTGCTATTTTGCATTCAATTTTTTGTCCCATTGTACCCCGCTTTCCCTTACAAAGCAAGACTAAAGTAATTTTTTCGAGGTTAATCATAAATTTATTTTCTGCAAGAAGGTATAGGAAAATTTAAGCACAAAGGGAAACGCGCCCTCTGCTAAATTTTTCAACAAATTCCTAATGAAAATGATGGGGATGTCGGATAAATGTAACTTGATGATGTAACTCGGATAAATGTGGATCCCACGATTCTATCTAGAATCGTGGGATCCTTTATCTTGAGGCACGTTGTGCAAAAATAGTTTTAGAAATTATGCGCAAAACAAATAGAACAATTTCGAGAATCATGTAATGTTTTCGTGCTATTATTTAAACGCACAAGTAAGGACACTTGTTTGTTTGAAGTCATCTGTAACCTGCAAAAAATCTGCATTAATGATTGAAAAGCTGTAAAAAATCTGCATTGATAAAATTGTAATATCTCGATGGCTGATAACCCGTTGAAGTTTTAATCATGACTCACGTTCCATTTCAGTTTTGGCCGTGATCGAGGACGCACGTACGTGTTTGCGGGTCCCAATTTTTTTCACTTTTTAATATGCCGGTTTGACTTATCTCTCGAATTTGTACCGAAACGATTTCAGTGAAAGATTCAATTTCAGTGCAGTTTAGCAAAAATGGTGCGAATTGTGAGAAAGGGCGGCTAGTACAAGTGTTTTTTTCCCGACAAATGCCAGTGCATGAAGTGAGCGCAAGCTTGTAGCTTGTTGGGAACTTTCGGCGACCGCCTATCAACCGCAGAACAACGGTGCCTTGAGCACGCTCAGGCCTTGTCTTTCTATACCCTGCTCACCCTCTTGGCAACTATCCCTCCCCCCCTCTACCCGCCTGTCGCGTCGATCCCTTGATTCTCCCAGCCCATCTCTGTCTTTCCCTCGCCAGCTACAGCTCAGCTGTTCCGCCAATCGAAATTTTCGAGGGAACTTTACTATACTCAACTCAACTCAGTTTTGTATTTTTCTCTGTCCTTTTCTCTGTTCAAGAGGTTTAGTTCGAGCATTTTATAATGGCTGGACAGAAAATAAAAAAGATTGTCGAAAGGCCCTCTACGGCCTCTAGAAAAAAAATGAAACCAAATCAGCCCAGCTAGAGATGAAAGTTTGCAAGTACTGCAAAGTGATCTCTGAGCGAAGTCCAGACGGTCACCTGTGAACGATGCGATGATCTCATTTGTTTCTGCTGTTCGAAGTTGAGCTCTAAGGAGTACTCATTTCTCCAAAAATCTAAATTACTTCATTGGTTTTGCCGTGATTACAAAAAACAAACTCTTTGTGCTCGAAAAAGCGAGGAGTCGGTGGAAGAGCACGGTACTGAGTCGAAATCGTTGAATGATGTAGTAAACTCCTTGAGGGAGATGGTGCGCTCGCTGAGTGACAAATTGAGCTCGCTATGCAATGAGCCTACTGAAGTGAAGGCTCAGCTGAACAATACGGAAGAAATCGAAGTAAAGAACAAGAGAGCTGATTTATGTGATGTCGCTAGCAAAAGCTCACGTGAATTACTTGATAGAAAACGTAGGAAGGCCAACCTGGTTTGGTTTGGGATTCCCGAAAGTACCGCATCTGATGAGAAGCACCGACTGAAGGATGACACTGCATTTGTTGTAGAATGTTGCAGCAAGGTACTCAACACACCAATTGATATTACATCGTGCAAGAGGCTACGCTCGAAGGATGCTGCTGCTAACACCTGCAGACCTCTTTTGGTGACTGTAAAGGATTCTGCTCAGGTCTGGAGCGTGCTGAAAACAACGAGAAAGCTTGGAGAATCCGCTGATTACAAGTCAGTTTTTGTAAAGAAAGATTCCACCCCTTTAGAGAGGGCGGTTTTTCACAAGTAGTGGCAGGAGAGAATGAGAAGGAAAGGTACGGAAAATCAGGCCAATCACTTCCAAGCTGTCAATACAAGACCGGCTGCTTACGGTCAGTCAGAGGAGATGGAGGACTAGTAATTAGTAGGAATGATGTCCGTAGATCAAGGCCTGTAAATATTGTAGGAAGTAACCGCATACATCAAAGTGAAATTGCAAAAAAAAATTTAAATGTTTTTTCACGAACTCGGATTCCGTTTTGAGCAAAAAAAGTGAACTGTTAACTATGATCGCAAACGAGTGTATAGGCATTATTTGTATTACAGAAACCTTCCCTAAAAATCGCGGGGGGAAAATTGTACCTGTTGAATTTCAGTTGCCTGGTTTTGACTGTTTTCATAACTTAAATGAAGAGCAGTGCAGTAGAGTTGTAGCTCCGTGGGTTAGAACCTCTCATGGGGCCCAGCAAGTTAAGTTATCGCAGAGCATCAATCAGCTAGAGAATTAGTGTGGTGCGAACTTACTCTAAAAGGCAAGGATAGCCACCTCATATGGGTCCTTTATAGATCGCCTAACTACTCCTCTGATAACAATGAAGTACTAAACAGCCTTTTATCGAGCATGACTTTCAGCAGGTCGCATGCGTTAATCGTTGGTGACTTTAACCTTCCAGAAACAAACTGGGCAGATGAATATTCTAAAAGAGATGGAATCACCAGCATCCATTTTTTTGGAGTCTGTGCGAGACTAATTTTTAATCCAGAACATCACCAAGCCGACCCGTTTTAGGAGTAAACAGACCCCAAATATTCTAGATCTAGTGTTTACTAGTGAAGAATCAATGATAGATGAGATGTATGAGATGAAATACACGAAGAATAGGTTCTCAAGCGCCTGGTAGCTCTAAATCCTAACAAGCCATGCGGACCAGACGGCTTCCATCCCTGATTGCTCAAAGAATTACAGCCGTTCTAGCCGGGCCATTGACAGTATTCTTGCAAAAAATCTTGAACGAAGGAACTTTGCCGTCCGATTGGAAAGAAGCTCAAGTAACACCATTGTTCAAAAAAGGTGACAAAAGTAGCCCCGGTAACCATCGCCCTGTCAGTCTGACAAGAGTTGTTTGCATGGTAATGGAATCTGTTGTGAGGGATAGGACTGTTGTGAGGGATAAGATCACTTGACTTTTCACCATCTCCTATCAGATTGTCAATATGATTTTATTGCCGGTAGATCCTTCACCACTAACTTATTGTCTACGTTGAACGATTGGACTCGCCTTCTGTACGAAAGGGAGCCAGTGGATGCATTATACCTCGATTTTACCAAAGCATTTGACAGTGTTCCGCATGAGCGGCTGTTACGTAAAGTGAAGTCCTTGGGAATTGAGGGAAGCGTGCTCCAACGGATCAGAGACTTTCTAGTAGGTAGGCGACAACGTGTCAACATTAGCAGAACCGTGTCAGATTGGGCATCAGTGCGCAGTGGCGTGCCACAAGGAAACGTTTTTGGGCTTAATTTGTTCGTTGCTTTTATAAACGATCTGCCAGAAGTAGCGTCCAGCGTGTGTTCCACGTATGCCGACGACACAAAAGTTTATAACACAGTGAAGGATGCGTCAAATAAAGCGCAATTGCAAGATGATCTTGACAGTTTAGTTAACTGAGCTGATACGTGGCAGCTGCGGTTTAATGCTGACAAGTTTAAAGTACTACACCTCGGGAAGAACAATGAACAGCATGGTTATAGTATTAGAAGACATGGTTACAACGAGAGAGTAATGATTGAAAAGTCTAGTGTGGAGAAAGATCTCGGAGTTTAAGTTGACAAGGAGCTGAAATTTTCTAAGCATGTTGAAACGAAAGCTAATACATCCAAGAAATTTCTTGGTCTAATCAGACGCTCTTACGAGTTCCTAGATGCAGAAGCAATGAAGCAGTTGTTTGTTGCTGTCGTGCGCCCGAATCTAAAGTTTGGAAACGTTGTGTGGTCACCGAGGTTTGAAAAGAACAAAAATTTAATAGAGAATGTTCAAAGACGTGCAACAAAGATAATTCCAGGCTTGAAAAGCAAGTCCTATGAAGAAAGATTAACGATTATGAAGCTTCCAAGCCTCAGTTATCGACGTCTGCGTGGGGACCTCATGGTATACAAGTATACTCATGGTTTATACAAGGTCCCTAAGGATTACTAGAATTTGAAACAAGAACCAAGAGATTTATGCGCCGGTATTAGCGACAGGCAAACTTTGAGACAAAGTGATGCTATGGGCTCTCACCAAATCCAATTAGGCTGCAGTAAACATTTACTATTGCGAGTTTCAAGTACAAGCTCTGAACTTTTCTTCGTCACGACCATGCACTTCGGCAATAGACTAACGTAAATATACTGCGTAAGCGAACTATTAAACGATTTTTTGCAAATTTGAAATCCCTGGATTAAAAATGTATCTTATTCAAAGCACTAACAGTGAAAACTTGTTGAAACTAATGATGACCCATGCCTTGAGCTAGGTAAGCTGACAGTTAAGTACTCATTAATGAGATGCTGGCTTTATGTTTCGAGACAGGGTTACTCAGATAGCGCTTGCTGGTCTGAACGGCCCGCATCTGCTAAGCTTATCTCCGATATCTATTGACAAAGTCTTTCATAGTCTCGACTCGACCTAGGCAGGTCAACTAAGCAGATGCTTGTAGACAGCATTCATACCTTCAGGCTTCAAAAATCAGATCAATTACTGGTTGAAAAAATATACGGTTCGGTCATCGAATTGGGCAGATTCGAAGAGCACATCCTGGTTAAATATATTAATGCCCGGATAGCTTATAAAGCAATTTTATTTTCCTTTGACTCGTGTCTCGTGCATAGGTACAGGCAAAACTGCATGGCATGCAGGCATTGGTTAAACCTATTAATGCCCTAGGCTTCGAACAAAATACTCTCACAGACCGCAGGCTGGACAAAATCCAACCCCAATTGTTCGCGATCGACGAGCATACTTCCGCTTGCTCCTTGAAGCGATATACGTCCTACGCTACGGGAAAGACAGAATTATATTCCCCTTTTAATATTTATGCCCCTAAGCATCGTGTAGAGCAGATTTATATGGCAAGTTACTGATGAAAATAATGTCCTTTAATTGAGCCGAGCAGACTTACATGGCACGTATTTGTTGAAGCGATTCTTGCGGATGTTGTCTGTGGTGAGCGCCTCGTCCACGTCACCCGTGGCACTCTCGTGCTGCAGACGTTTGAAGTGGAAGCCAAGAGTGTCGGAGGCTTGCAGCTGCAAAATTACAGCTTGAGTTATATTTTTTCTTTGAAATAAATTTTTGGAATAATAAATCAAAGAACGTTTCACAAGAGAACAATTCATCGTATAAGTGGTCATAGTTTCAGCAGATGGAGCTGATTTTCGAAATTTTTTTACAGTCGCATATATTACAAAATTTATAACGTCAACACCATAAATGCATACGGTCATCACAAATTAAAATTGTGCTCTTTGAATGTTTTGTCACCGTTCAAAAATTATTCATCATTCATTTCTTCCGAAATGAAAAATTTCTTTGCTGATTCTCATTGAAACCATGGATAAATGAAATTATATCATGTGATATATAAATATCTTAGTAGATTTATCATGTGATACATGATGGTTCAACAGTCCATTTAAGAGACCTGAGTCATGGCTGCCAGCAGCTCCAGACGGCGCTGTTTCTGGTCTCCAGACCTGGAAATATACAAAACAATTATCCACTAAATAAATGAAGGAGTTCTACTACTGATGAATTACAGCTAGACTTCATGTCAACGGACTATGTTGCGGTAATTTCCAATCATTATAGCATCAATTATGTTTCAAAGGAAAGTTAGAAATGGTCTGAGAGAAAATAATAGTCTCGAGCTAAAAATAATCAAGGATTTTGGTAAAATGTTTAAGGAGTTAGTTTGGAGTCTAAAGATGGCTAAGGGCGTGGTGGTTAATCATACTGTAACTAATATGAATTTTCATTTATTTGGGATTAAGGAGTTAAATTCTCTTTCTCGTGCATGATAAATATGGTACGGATAATCAATATTTCAGAATAATCACTAAGTAATTCACTCTTGCTTTCAAAATTAAGTGGAGACAAGTCTCCTGTCGTATGAAGTTCGAGTCATGCGTCAAACATACATTCATAATTGCATGTACAAGAAAAAGTGCGATCAAAATATTACGGCATTTCTCACACATTTTGGGTGATGCTTTCTCCTTCTTCACTGTCCGAGATTTTTAGGCAGCTTTTTTTCTGACAATATAATATGCATAAGCCGATGATGGAAATCCCACCAATACAGGAGCCCACTGATATAATCAGTAGTACAGTTTTATCATTGATGAGACTTCTCGTAGCATCCCCCGTCGCTCTTGATTCCTCTTCATTCCTCGTAGCATCCTCTGTCGCTCTTGATTCTTCTTGACTTCTCGTAGCATCCCCCGTCGTTCTTGGTTCCTCTTGATTCCTTGTAGCATCCTCCGTCGCTCTTGATTTCTCTTGTTTCCTCGTAGCATCTTCAATCGCTCTTGATTCCTCTTCATTTCTCGTAGCATCCTCCGTCGCTCTTGATTCCTCTTGACTTCTCGTAGCATCCTCCGTCTTAAAAATACCAGATATGTCCGTCCCAATTTTCGCGTCATTCGTGTAAGCCTGCTTGGTAAATTTGCTGGTTAGTTTTCAAGATATGGAATTAACGAGGAAATTCATCTGCTAGTATATTATATTGGATTTTTTTAATACATTTCCTAAATAGCCAGTATATAGGAAATTCTGGCCAGCATATTCTTCTGGAATGAACGTTTTGAATGTAAATTCAATCAAGATCCTGGAACTAGTACTTTCTAATGATGCTTGTTCGTAAAAATATTTTCGTTTGAGAAATAACAGAAAATCATTTGATGTGAGAATTTAGAAAAATTATGGATACCTTAAAATATCAACAAGGTTTCAAGGAAGCACATCTATATATATACAATGATCCCGCACAATGTTTCACCAGGTTTAACTTCATTCATATACGGTGAGTGCATTAATATCACATACAATTCACTTAGCAATTATTTCAGTTCAATGAGTGAAAAAGATGAAAAATAACAGTATTTACAGTAACCACGACGCGATAGTCTTGACCGGGTTGAAGGTTGTGTATGGTGAAGACGCATCGGCTGCTGGTGTTGCGACCAGCAACCTGGGACACTCCCGGCTGCTGGTCGAAACAGTCAGAAGCATTCATGAAGGCAGTGATGCTGGCATTTTGTGCTGCATTACAAAGCGCAGCATTGATACCGTAGCGTGTTACGCGATCAGGGCACTCAGGAGGCGTCCAGCTGATTGTGAGGGAGTTCTGGCCTGCTGATATCTTCTCTAGCTGCTGCGAAGCAGTAAAGCCTGCTCAGAAAATATTTGAAATTTTAAGTTAATGTGAATTTTTTATCGAAAGCCTATAATACAGTAGAGCCTAACGTAACTTACAAGCATTATACTGTAAAATGCAATTTTTATAAAATCGAAGGTGTTAAGGAGAGAAGAATTTAGTCTGTTTGTAAGATTATCTTCAATTTCACCTAATAAATGTGGAACTGAGATCAGAGGTTTTGCTCTCCGATTTCTTCAAGCGCAAAAAGGAAACTCCATTCTATACATCCTTAGTTGTATTCTCTTTAGTAATATTGCGGTGTTGAAGTATTATTTATCCGCGCTTTGAATTATGCTCACTGGTTACTAATAATTCCTGGAATATTTATTCATTTTTTATAATTTAGGAGGAGTTTGGATACCCGTGTATATAGCTGAGAGCAGTAATAAAAAATATTTTCTTACATGCAGACCTAATGCAGACCCAGGTTCAGCAATTTTTTTATGACGCGCGAAAGTAAAATTTTGACTGATGTACAGGGTGGGGCAGAACCGATTGAGCAGTTTTGAAGCGAAATAAAAGAGTAACGTACATAAAGAAGAAAGTTTATTTTGCTCGAGGTTAGCATAAAATATTATTTAGAATACTTATGTTTTGAAAATAATATCTGGAAGATGGTGGCCGTTAGCTACAACACACTGTTGGAGTCGTTCTCGGAGGAGGGAGTAAGCGTGACAGTGAATTCCGAACGCTATGCTGCAATGTTGCAAAATTTCTTGCAGTCCAGGATGGAAAACATTGTTGGAAATGAAGCATTAGGAGACGTGTGGTTCCAGCAGGATGGGTTACAGCTCGCACAGCTCGAATGTCACTCAATGTTTTGAAACGCATGTTTCCCGCGGACGTCTGGTGTCTCTGAGGGGTGATTTACAGTGGCCTGCAAGGTCACCTGATTTGAGCATTTGCGATTTCTTTCTTTGGGGGACATCTAAAAGAGAGGGTGTTCAGAAGTCGCCCTCACACCCTACCACAGCTAAGGGAACGGATTATTGCAGAGGTTATGGTCATTCCTCGCCATATGTGTGAGCGTGCTGTGGGAAACTTCCGAGAATGACTCGAACAGTGTGCATGCGCGTACCTGAGAGAAAAAGACCCCCTGTTTTGAAGCACTGGGGTGTTTCAAAGCCTCCCCGAGCTTGACGCGCTTATATTTGTGCGGCTAGCGTCGCGTGGTCAGTGTGCCGAATGCTGTCATAGGATGTGGTTGTGTGGAGCCGCCGCTCATGAATGCCACCAATCTACACTGCATACGGTTAATTGTTCCAACTCAATTCGGTTAATTGTTTCAATTCATTGCTGTTCTTTTGTCAATAGTAATGTTAACGAGCGACGTCTTGTCCACTCAATCACACAAGAAGTTGATCATAAAATCAAAGATTTATTCTGGTAGTACCGCGCGCAAAACAAAACAAACACGGCAACTCTATGTAGTTGCCCTCTTCGTAGCTGAGTGGACTAAGGTGCCTGCTCGCGACAGTCTGGTTGCAGTCTTGGCAAAGGTTCGAATCTCGGCGGGCGACTCATAGTTTCTTCAACCAGAGTTCGATAGAGGTGAGAGCAAAGAGTGTAGTTTCATGATGATTGTACATACCGATATAAATTGTGTAATAAATATGTGTATAAAAGAATGAATGTGTGACTAATTCCGCTGTGGAGGAGAAAAGCGTTGAAATCAGATAGAGACGGATAAATATAATTTTCATAATTTTGGTTGGGAGGCGGCCATGGATTAGACTGGGATCGACCGGAGGAGTAGAATATGTTAAAATAATTTCATCAGGCGCTGGAAACTAGACATGGATATTGCACAGATTCTGAAAAGAAGGTCTCATTCTCCGTAGACTTTCGGTGTTCTAACGCTAAAACACCTAGGTGTTTAAAAATCGCAAATTTTGAAGTACCTGAACGTTTTCGAAACACCTGGGTGTTTCGGTGTGGGCACGATCTTTCGGGGAGGATTTGAAACACCCAAGTGTTTCAAAACAAGGGGCCCTTTTCTCTCAGTATGTTGCAGCTACCGGATACCATCTTCCTGATATTATTTTCAAAACATAAGTATTCTAAATGGTATGTTAAGCTAACCTCGAGGAAAATAAACTTTCTTTATTATGTACCTCCATTACTCTTTTATTTCGCCTCAAAACTGCTCAATCGGTTCTGCCCCACCCTGTATATGAACAGAAATATTGTAGAGTAATAATTTTACTGAAATTCAGACTTAATCATCTTCAAGTGCGACCAAAATTTTTACTTAGATCAGAACCATTATTTCATAACTACAGAGACATCCATGAGTGCATTTACGGTCTATTCTAGTCAAGTAGTTGAATAAACTATGATGCAACATGGAAATGTTTATGCATTTTACGTTCATTCAAGCTAATAATCTCCACCCAAATATCACCAGAATTTCTAGTAAGCCGTAGTCTTACCAAAAAATATTTTGAATTAATCTTACCTAATTCACCCGTTGTATTTTGGATACAAGTCAAGGTACTGAACCCTGAAGTATATTCGGCCACAACACAAACATTGTACACGCTGAGGCTGTGGAGGTCACTAATGGTGTAGCTATGAATGTTTGGGTTAATCGTGATGTTTCGCTGCACGTCTTGCAGCGGTGAGTCTCCTCCTTGTGCCAGGAAAGTGGAGGAATAGGATAGTAGGTATCGCGTCACCTTGCAGATGGGGACCGGTGCTTTCCAGTCCAATGTTATTCCTTGACAGTCAAGAGACTTTATGATTAGCGACTGTACCGGTAGGAGCCATGGCATTCGTCCAAAACGTTTTTCTGAAAATGCACAGGACATTGTTTTTTACGTTAGAATCCAATTTTCTTACCGATACGAGTTGATCCAATTTATTCAACTTAAACAGCCGTAGATTTGAACTGCGATCCTTTCTGTGCAAAGTAACATCAACATTTGTTAGAATTTTTTGCTTCACTCTAGTTTTATACCTCTCATGACTGATCGGGCTGATCTCTTTTCGGGCTCATTCGCATTTCTTTCGTCGGTATGATAACAATATTGAAGACTTATTTCCAACTACTGCTATAAATGGCAGAAGCAACATACTTTTTCCACTCACCCACGGGATAGAGTAACAAGTCCAGACAACTTTCGTTTCTGGGCGGAGAATTGAAAGCTGGTGCGATGCAAATACCGATTAATGACACGGAAACATTTTCATCTACTGTGACTGTATAATTTTTATACGGTGTTGTATCTTTGAGGTTGTCATGTAAGATATTATTGTCAGATGCAATGACCGAGTATCTCACTAGGTATCCTTTAAATACTTCGTTTGATTTTGGCTTGTTCCACGTGACAGTCACTGACGAGTCGGACATGTTCAGAATTTTCAAATCATCAACGCTCACGAATTTAGAACCTGTCATCAAGAAAAATTGAAAAATTATGCATGAGGCTCAAGCTACCAAGGATTGTTATGAATGATCTATGAACAACTAACTTGGTGTAACGTCATGAAAACGGGCTTTACCTAGAAACATCTTAGTTATCTTTTGGAATCTAACTAAAAACTGAGAAAATGCAACATATGATGTTCATCTATTTTTTTAAATGCTCGTGTACATTTATTTTTATTTTTACTACACACGCTATCGAATTTATTCTATTGCTACTGTTCAGAAAATAAAAGGATTTGAACCTTCTAATTTCAAACCCACCTGCTCCGTTCGTAACATTGAATTCTGTCCGCAACATCATGAGCTTGGATGAATATTCCACACAGTGAGGCAGAGCTTTTTCTACACAATCGACAGCACTCAGAGTGCTGGATGCTTCGTGTTCGGCTGATATCCCTTTTGTTTTGCGTTGGTCATATCCGCACCATTGCCTGTTCTTGTCCATGGATACCATGTATTGAAATAAAGTCGAGGATGGGGCTAATTCTGGAAATGGTCATTGTGAGTGAAGAAGCCGTCATCTAAATCTGACTAGATTTCAATGGCAGTTTATCAATATTACATCATAAAAGGCGGAATCATGCATAAGTTTCACTAGTTTTATGAATAAATTTTATACGGAGTTAAAAGTTTCTATATTGCAATATCGAATTCGATCCAGTTAATAAAATGGGATCACTGTATGCCAAAAGTATGTGCTCTGTTACCGTATTCCGTATAAATATATAAAATGTATGATTTTAGTG